AGCACGAGGGAAAAATCGGATGACTGTGAACAAATTTCCAAGGATGAATCAGATGATTCTGCTATAGTCAGCAGCATGCATTCAGGTACGATTGATAAAAACGCAGGAAAGTATTAAATATCGGCAGGCTCTTACGTTATTGCTTGTCAGGGTGTTCCTATATGCTTGAAATAAATGCCGAACTAATCTCTTTATATTTATTCAGAAGTAGAATAATACTAAACAATAAAGTGAATAAAAGACTATAATCTAAATGGTACGAAGAAATGACGACGACTGACTGAAAAGCACGAGATTGCATAACTATATGTATGTATGTAGGTGTATATATCTTGTGTTAGAGAATGTGTTTGTATGTAAATTTCTGTAAGTAAGGTATTTTCAAAAATGAATCGATACAAACGTCGAGGACAAAAAGGATGTGAAGAGTGCAACCAAAGAAACTACTAACTAAACTGTTAAACACACGCACTTATATTGGAGGTGAAATGAGGACGTAAAAAACAAAGAAAAAGAGAAATATATGTCGAAGGACATGTGTACATACGTAAAAGATGGACTGAAACAGAAAAACAAAATGTGTATGCCCAAACAAACGAGAACAAAGTGAGAGATGTGATCTCTCACTGAAAATGCTGTTCATCAAAAGTCCCTTTATGGGAAAAATAAACATCTTACAAAAAATAAAGTCACTTGTGTGGCTTTGACTTTTTTTTTTTTGTTTTTTTTACTGTTCTTGTCTAATCACGCGAATATGACAGGTCATGGATAACGACATGAAATAAGATGCAGATAATGTTGCCGTGAAAACCACTATGGAGTTAAAGTTTGTTCAGCATGTTGCTGAGCTTCAAGATTTGGTAGACCAATGTAATGAGATATATTGTTGTTTCTTCCGTTCGTATTAATCAAAACGTTTTTGTTGTGAATGTTGACTTGATGCATAAGATTTTTCACACGTGTATGAGTAAAATATTGGTGGATGTTTCGTCGTACGAATTCAATTTGATATTGTTTTCGTCGTAGTTTGTCTCTTTTTTTGATATTGTCTCTTTGTTTCTTGGCTTTTGAACTAGGGTTGCGTCGAACTGAAGTTGGAGCACACAGTGGTGTTTCAACCGGGATTAGTTGTTGATTCGAAGAGGGTGGCAACGGTGACGACGAACGCACGGAAACGGGGGAAGTATTAACGACTAATTCAGGCAATGTGAATTGTTCTACTGCTTTTAACGGTTGGGATTCTTCGTATTCCTGTTGTAAAAGCTTTGGTGATAACGAAACGGGAGCGAGAGACGTCATTGATGTTACTGTTATTACTGCCCGTCGTTGTCTATATTCTTCGATCGAAATCGGTCGTCGAGATTTTTTTGGTGGCGGTGTTTGTTCTTCTTCTTCAGAATCTTCTGCTTGTTTCCAAAGTTCTGGACGTTTGAGAATCATCCTTAAACATGTTGGCCCTTCATTTGTACGTTGTTGTTCTGTTGTGCTGTTATTATTTTCATCATCAGAAATCATTTCATAGTGGTTGTCTACTAATGGTAATGAAGTGAGGGGTGGTGCCAGTGGTGATGGGGCATAATGTTGAGGAGACGGTGATGAATCTGGATAATGATGACGATAATGAAGTTGGGTATCCTTTAAAAATCCGTTTGTGAACAAATGTTGAATCGCAAGACAATCGGCTGCTGCATAGTCACTGAGTCGTTTACAATGAATTGTTTGTTCTCGAGTACGTGAGAAAAGTCGAAGATCCAAGCCACAATCAAATTTGGAAATCGTATACTGCTTGTTTAGAAATAAACGGCTCGAATGGACTAATGCGTCTTGAAGTGAAAATGGATCGTTCTCTAATTTTTGACTACATAGTTCACAATGACAGTTGGATTGTAAGGTTATTATATGATAATTTATTTGTTGATCGATGGAGTTTGCATTTAAAATTTGTGATTCATCGAATAAACCAAACGGAACGAAATTATCCAGTTCACGGATTGAACCCCACGAATGAATTGTTGCTTTCGAGGTTAAAATGGTCTTGAATAATTGCTGAACTAATGTGAATTTCGCGGACGTTGTTCGTGGCATAAATTTCGTTTCGAAGAGGAGGACAAGAGACGATTCGTTTGGGTGGACTATTTGAATTTGAATAAGAGCGGGACGATTAGGAGCTCGAGTATGAGGTTGAATAATCGATTCGGTGTCAAGGAAGAAACGGACAGCATTGCTTGCTTTATTTATATAATCTTGTAGCTGAAATTCTGTTGTTCTATAGGTAACATGTTCAGTTGTAAAATTTAACGGTACGAATGCGTCATATGTCAAGAAATATTTCAAATTTTTAATATTTTTCCTAATTGATCGACGTTGATTTTTTGTTAATCTTTCATTTATTAATCGGTCTTGAAGACAATCAATTTCTTCCTGCTGTGAGAGATGTTGTGATCACATTAAGCGAACTTTTGTTTTTTAAAAATTATAAATTGCGCTCTCTCCGCCCACGGAAAACATTTTTATAAAATTACAACTGCCAGAGAATCTAAGTACAAAGCTACAGCTGCCTAAATAATCAATTTCGCCAAAAAATCTTGCCTTTGAAGCAATAAATAAGAGCCAGTTTTTAGGAAATAATGCCTGTTATCTCGGTAACGGAAAAGACCTGACAAGAGATATTTTCGAATTAGTCATGTCCTTATGCTAATAAGTAACTTGCAAAAAAGATTTTTCTTCAACTCGTCTGCAAAAAATCTCCAGCCAAATCTATTTCGACTTCATATGTGCAACGGCCAAATTGAACGTTTCAACTCTACCATGGGCGCAAAAATTGTCGCACTTTCCAATGACCGTAAAACTGATTGGGACGACCAATTGCCGTTTGTTACATTCAATTACAATACAACTGTCCATTCAACAACAAAAACTATCCCATTTGCATTAATGTATGGAAGAGCTCCAGTTCTGCCCTTTGACCACCAAGATCCATCGGTTTCGCTCTCACAAGAACCTGAGCACCTCATTAAACTCAAAACATATTTATCGTCATTAACCGGTCAAGCGACAAATAATATAATCAAAAATCAGAGTAAATATAAACAACGGTATGATTTAAATCGTTCAAATCCATCGTATAAAATCGATGATCTCGTTCTCGTGAAGACACTCAACACGCGTCACAAGTTCGACATACGACACGAAGGTCCATTCAGAATCATCCAACAGCTTGCTTCAAAAACATTTATCGTCGAGCATACGAAAAAAACCACACTACGTCGACAAGTAACAGTTGACGTAATAATTCGTCTTTTTGAACGAACGTTATAAAATCTCCGGAGCCGGCCGAACTCGCCGACCCATTGTGATGATTAATCTAAGTCAAACAAACCAAATTGATAGATTGATTAATTGATTACTTTGCAGGATATATGATCTAGCATTACGAGCCGGAGAGTGAATGTCTATGATTCACTGTCTCAGAGTGCTATGATCACATAAGTAACTTTGATAGTAATTCTCAATAAAATCTAATAACGAAGGGCACTAGGAGATACATCCGTCAAAACAATTTACAATTACTCTCTCATCATCGGATTACCAACGGTATTACCAATAAGGATAGAACTCAACAAAATTCATTGTTAAATATGTCCGATGACGACGGCGTATTAGGTTCATTAGTTGCAACAGCAAAAAAAGCTTGGTTTTCAGAACTTGCGAATTTCTCTGGTGAACCAGAGGGCAGCACCGTCGAACAATTTTTAAAAAATTTAAAATTTATTACGGCTGGAAACGATAAAACAAAAGATGAAGAAAGATTACAAGTGGTTCGTGGAAAGCTCGTTAAAACAGCAGCCAAATGGTTTGATGATAATCAAGAATTATTTCATAATCAATGGAATAAATTTGAATACGCATTTAGGAATCGTTTTTCATCATCAATCCAATCGCAAAACAAATTTGACAAATTATTACAACGGAGACAACAACAGAACGAATCAGTTATTACATACTATGATGAAAAGGTGTCTTTATGTCGTGAATGCGATTCAGCAATGGATGATAAAGTAATAATTCAACATTTATTAAGCGGAATAAGACCGGATATTGCAAAATAAGTGTTAAGATTCGACCCACCCGTTGACACGTTGAATAAATTCTGGAAGGTCGCAAAGAAAGAAGAAGATCTGAACGAAACTTATGACAAATTAGCAAATTTGAATTTACATCACCAACAACAACCATGGTTTGCACTTAATTCAGAAACTAGTTCATTTACAACACAACAGCAACGTCCAGTAGTGTATCAACATCCAAACCATTCGGCACGAAAATCATCATCATTTATAACATCATATAAAGATAATTATACTTATCCCAATAAAGATTTTAGTTTAAACCAAGCACGATTCCCTTCTGAAAATCAACAGCCACGGAGTTCATTACTACAATTTTATCGATGCAAAGTTTGCGGAAAAACAAATCATCGAACAGTTGAATGTAAACATCGATATTCATCAGGGTGTTTCAATTGCGGAGAAAATCATGCAGTCCGCGATTGTCGCGAACCACCACATTTTCAATGACTGGGACACGTGATGGCAGTGTTCCCAGTATATCACAGAAGCCATCAGCATTAGCAACATCGTCGTCATCGTGTCCGATTTTCATCAAGATTTTAGTCAACAACAAACCAACTCATGCCATTGTAGGCACGGGATCTGCCATTACAATAATACATCAAGATTTATTAAAAATTATCCACCATAAGAAATTACTTTATAAACAAATAAATGTAACGCAGCAAATTCATCACCTATCAACATCATCGGAGAAATAGAATTAGAAATTAAAATCGGGACCATTAAAACGCAAATTATTGCTCAAGTAGCAACAAATCTAATTACTGCCATGTTACTTGGAAATGATTGGATCAATAAATACAAAATTCATTTGTTAAGTGACGAACAACGGCTCACGATTCCTGCATTTAAAGGCCGAAGATTATCATTTCCATATGTCGCGCCACCTGACCTTAGTTATCTAGTTTATCTCACTGAATAAATTACCATACCAGCTTCTTCACAACGACTAATCAGTGTTAATTTACAAGTAAAACAGGCAAATGATTTAATTTTTCAACCTATTAACCATCTTCAATCAAAACTTTTATTTATTCCAAATGCATTTGTCAATGTATTAAATTATAGAACCAAAGTGCTTCTTATTAATGCGCAGAACTCGTGAAAAAGAAGGATGGCACCATTCGATTCTGCATTGATTATAGCAAGCTGAACGATGTTACGATAAAAGACGTCTTTCCCCTGCCGAGAATCGATGAAATCTTTGATGAGCTGGCAGCCGCCGTATTCTATACAAAATTTGATTTCAAAGCAGGATACTTTATAATACCACTGGCACGTCAAGATCGATCCAAAACGGCATTTAGCGCAAGAGATAATCATTACGGTGCTCCCTCAAGGAATCAGCAACGGCCCGCCGACATTTCAGCGCATAATCAATCACATATTAGACCATCCCGTTGGCACTATGCCCTGGCTTATATCGACGACATCATCATTTATTCATCGACATTTGAAGAACATCTAATTCATCTTAACGAAATTTGCAAGAAATTAAAAGATGCGAAATTCAAACTAAATCTCGATAAATGTACTATAGCAAAAACTCAAATTGAATATCTTGGACACTTAATCGAACAGGGCAAAATCCATCCAGGCCCGAACAACATTCGCGGCTTAATCAATACACGAATCCCAAAAACACCGGCTGAAGCGTCCAGGTTTTTGAAAGCTGCCGAATACTACAGGAAATTTATTCCGAAATTCTCCATCATCACTGAACCTCTGCGTAAATTCGTGCCAACAACCAAAACAGAAGCCAGAAAATACCAGAAGCAACAAATCACATTGACAGCTGAAGAAGTACAAGCATTCGAACAATTGAAGCAAATCTTGACATCTGCTCTCGTCCTTCGTCTACCAAATAATAAATATGCGTTTAAGGTTCAAACAGACGCCTCCGATCAAGGCATTGGATGTGTTTTATTACAAAATTACCCTTATGGAGAACACCCATCTGGATACATTTCAAAGAAATTTACTTCATCACAGAAAAAATGGTCACCAATTGAGCAGGAATGCTATGCTCTTATTTGTGCTCTTGATAAATGGCATATATATCTTAGTGGTACAAAATTTACATGGGAAACGGACCACCGTGCGTTGATACACTTGAAAAATAAAGCACAAACAAACAAAAGATGTGAAAGATGGAGATTGAGAATCGCCGAATACCAAATTCAAATTAAACATATTAAGGGAATAAATAACCCAATGCCTGATTACCTTTCACGATCTCCGGTAGATGATCCAGAAGAAGATCCCGATGAATTAATCAACGTATCATCAAAATCGACACAAACAGAAGCAATTGCATCTTCTTTACCTATTGTCTTTGCTGTCCAAACTCGTACTATGGCAAAACGAAGCACAGTCGATCAATGTGTAGTTAAACCTCCTGTTTCAACGACCCCATTAGCTCTAGAAGTCCAACCTGAAAGCTGTATCATACCATTCACGTTAGACGAATTGAAAATGGCACAACAGAATGATGAGGAAACAAGGCAAATTATTGATGATATTCAAAATCACCATAATTATTTTACAAAAAACGGTTTATTATTGCGTCGCAATACTCCACCGGTACCATTGGTACCAAAAGGAATTCTTCGTAATAGCATTCTCAAGATATATCATGATACGGCAGCCAATGGATCGCATTTCGGTCGTGATAAAACTCTACACAAAGTCAGAGAACGATATTATTGGCCATCCAACACCACCTCAAATCCTGTATCCAATGCGCGCAATTCAATCCACAACGACGAAAAGCACCTGGACATTTAAAGCCAATACCACCTAAAAGCGGCGTTTGGGAATTACTAAGTATGGATTTCCACGGCCCGATCACACCGTCATCAAAACGTGGCAACAAATATATAATCACCATCACCGACGTCCTCTCAAAGTTCGTTATAGCTAAATTCGTGCGGGATTGCTCTGCAACAACGGTAGTCCGTTTTTTAAAAGATGTCATTACTATATATCGCGCAAATTTTCCAAATTTTGGACTTTTTCCACTTTTAACCATGTCGGACTTCCGATTTTTTCACGATTTCTACCAATGAAAAGTAAGCTCGCACCTAGCAACATGTCTCTATACTGTACTCGAGCTACTTATGGTTATTTTATTCATAAAGGTATGATTATAAGTAGCCGGCAGGAAAGGTAGTTATTTTACGGATAATGCCTGTTATCTCGGTAACGGAAAAGACCTGACAAGAGATATTTTCGAATTAGTCATGTCCTTATGCTAATAAGTAACTTGCAAAAAAGATTTTTCTTCAACTCGTCTGCAAAAAATCTCCAGCCAAATCTATTTCGACTTCATATGCATTGAGGGTGATAAGGAGTTGAGAAGAGATGTGTAGCTCCGATGTCTTTAAACAATTGATCCATCATTTGAGCCGTGAAATGTGTTCCATTATCTGTTAATATGCAACGCGGTGTGCCATATTTCGTAATCACATCTTCTTTAAGAAATCGAACAGCAGTTTGACTCGTGCAGTCTCTCACTGCTCTACTGATAACAAATTTGGATAAAACGTCTATCAAGGAAATGATGTACTTGATGCCTTGTGTTGATACTGGTGTAATCGGGCCGTGAAAGTCCATTGCTAGTAACTGCCAGACACCTTCAGGTGGTTTGATTGGTTTTAATAAACCTGGTGGTTTCCGACGTCGAGGGTTAAATTGAGCGCAACGACGACAGGATTGCACATGATTTTCGATATCTTTGATCATTGACGGCCAGAAATAACGTTTTTTTATTTTGTCGACTCCTCGTCCAAAGATGTCGGTCCCGTCCAAAATGCGCTCCATTGGCCGGAGTGTCGTGAAAAATTTTGAGAATTCTCGATCGAAAGTGTCCTTTTGGTACGTAAGGCACTGGAGGAGAAGTTTGACGCATGAGGAGATCATTTTTAAACATATACTTTTTATGATTCTTAATCTTAAGACTAATCTGTTTTACTTGATCATCCTGGTGTTGTGCTTCTCGCAATCGATCGAGGGTAAATGGAATAATATGGTGTTCCCTAAGAATGACCCTGGAATCGATGTTAGACGGACGCGCCGAAAAAAATTCTCCGTCAAGCAGTCAAAACTTTCTTATTCCCTTTACTGTAATTTTAGGGTGATCGAAGTGAACTCTCTAGACTCGTCAATACGGTGCAACCCTTACCTCTGATACAGGTACTAATATTGCTGTTAATGATTCCACGTCTGTTTGAGTCGATTTTGAACATACAAAAATATTTTCATCCAGATCTTCTTCAGCATCGTCAACTGATGATCTTGAAAGATAATCAGGCATGGCATTATTGATTCCTTTAATATGTTGAACAATGTAATCATATTCAGCTATTCTTAATCCCCATCTTTCGCATTTTTTGTTTGTTTGTGCCTTCAAATTCAACTGCTTCAGAGGCTGATGATCCGTCTCCCATATGAATTTTGTGCTGCTTAAATAAATATGCCATTTCTCAAGTGAGCAGATGAGTGCATAACATTCTTGTTCGGTAGTTGACCACCTGCTCTGAGGTGAATTTTTTTGATAGATATGCCACGGGATGATCACCATCGGGTTAGTTCTATAATAATACGGCACCGATGCCTTCATCTGATGCATCTGTTTGGAGTTTGAATGGGAACCGATTGTTTGGGAGACGAAGCACGAGATCATTGGTCAAAATACGTTTGAGTTCTTCGAAGGACCTTTTCTCGTCGTTTGTCAATGTGATTGGCTTTCTGTGACCTCTTTTGCCAGTCTTTGACGTTGGGACAAATTTTCTTAATGGTTTTGTCAAAAGGGGGAACCCCGGAATGAATTTTTTATAATACTCCGCTACTTTGACAAATCTTGATCTTCAGCGGTCGGAAGCTCTGTATGTAATAGGCCTCGAATATTGACAGGACTCGGTCGAATATCACCTTGTTTAATCTGGTGGCCAAGATAATCGGTCTGTGTACGAGCCACCTCACATTTTTCCGAATTGAGACGAAAGTTTGCTTCTTTTACGAGTTGACAAATTTCTTTCAGATGAGATAAGTGATCTTCGAATGTTCGAGAATAAATGATGATATCGTCTATATAAGCCAATGCGTATCGCCAACGAGTTGGACCCAGAATATGATTGATAACACGTTGAAATGTCGCCAGTCCATTAGTGACTCCTTGCGGCAAGACAGTGAACTGATAATGATTGTCCCTTGTAGAGAATGCTGTTTTAGGACGATCTTCTTTTGCTAGGGGAATTTGAAAGTATCCGCTTTTGAAATCAAATTTTGTGAAGATGACGGCTTCGGACAGTTGGTCAAATATTTTATATATTCGAGGTAAAGGAAAGGCATCTTTGATTGTTATAGCATTGAGACGGCGATAGTCAATACAGAAACGAGTTGTTTTATCTTTTTTCTTGACGAGAACGACGGGAGATGACCATGAAGAAGTTGATTCTTCGATCTGGCCACGTTCCAACAATTTTTGAGTTTCTTCAGTTTTTATTTGTTGATCCCTCTCGGAAGCAGGATATTGTTTCGAATAAATGGGAGGATGACCACCGGTTTTGATTGCTGATTGAGGAGGTATATTAACGATTGTTGGACCCGAATCAAATCTTTATTATGCCATAATATCTCTTCGACCTGCTGCTTTTGTTTTGGATGTTCGATGTGCTGTGTGAGATTTTGAATGTGTCTACGGACTTCTTCCGAATAACATGATTCTCGAAGGTGTTTTTTGAGGTCATTTCCGGTGAAAAAATTTTGTTGGCATTTATAACGCTGTGTGTTCCGATTTGGAAACGAGTAGTCCGTGGTGGTCTTGACCGCTCCTGCTCTCGATGACAATCGGTTATGATCTAAGAATCCAACAGGTTTTAGAGTTGTAGGAGATTTCCGACGTGGTTGTTGCATGGTAAGACATACTTCAAACGTTGGATATCTATTTATCATGCCAATTTTCGAATTTTTGGACAGGGTACGTTGACGATCCTGAGCATTTATTACGAGGATTTTTGCCGTATGATCAGTGGCGTTTAGCAAGGTGTTAGGGATGAATACAAATTTTAAGAGATAATTTGTAATAGGCTGGAAAATCAAGTTCTCCGCCCCAGAGAGTTGAACTTTGATGTCCACGAGTTGTTGAGAATTCGGAGGAATGGTCACTTGATTCACGAGGAAGACTGGATAGTTAAGATCAGGTGAAGCGATATACGGGAATGAGATAAGTTGTCCGTTTTTTGTCATTTCCGAGGAGAAGAGATGTGACTAGGTTTGTTGCGACGTCTGCTATTATGTAGGTTTTAATTTTTCCAAGTTTAATTTCCAATTCCACTTGACCGATGATGTTGATCGATGAAGAGTTAGCTGCTTGACAGTCGGTTTTCTTATCGATGAATTTTCGATGATAAAGAGTCCTTAGAAGATTTTGGTGAATTATCGTGATGACGGATCCAGTGTCGACGATCGCATATGTTGACTTTCGGTTTACTTGGACTTTGATATAAATTGGAGAGGTTGATGTTGCTATTGATGGCTTCTCAAGTTTACTGGGAACACCGCCATCCCGTGACCCAGTTATTGAAAAGACGGTGGATTCGTGCAATCGCGAACTGAATGATTCTGTCCGCAATTGAAACAGCCTGATGGATTTTTGTGATAACAATCAATGGCACGATGATTCTTTTTTTCGCAAATTTTACAGGTAGTAAATTGAAACGATGACGAAGTTTGTTTAGTCTGATCCATCACTGGTTGTTTCGTTGTCGATTTGCGTGGAATTTCTGGCGATTTCAATAATTTATGATGAGAACCTGGAATAAATGATTGCTGTCTTTCGACAGATCTCCCGATTCCCAATTGTTGTAAATCCCGACTGGAATGATTTGGATGTTTATGTGGCCGTTGATGAATGACGGCCGTTAGGGTTGTTGATTCCGGATTCATGAAGAAGTATGGTTGTTGGGATTGAATTTTCATTTCTTGAAATTTTTCAAATTGTTCATGAATATCTTGTTCCTTTTTTGCCACGGTCAAAAACGTTGCAATTTGATCAATCTGGGGGTCATGGCGAGAAAGTTGTTTCCGAAATTCAGGACGAAAACCGTTCATAAGATGTTGGACAATAATCTTCTCAGTCAGGAAAGCGCAAGAAGTCAATGGCTTGCAACAGAAAGTGCAACCTGAACGGAAAAGAATACAACCGTAGAAAGCGAAGGGTGGCTCTTTTAAATTTCACAACACACTTAGCACAGCAATCAGATGCTTCCCGTGAACAGTTTAAGCCATGATCAGCTAGATCAGAAGCAGAAGCGTCATCGTCTGCACTATGGCTACCTACCCCACACGACCCTGAAACAGTTATTTTCGAAGGAGCAGAAAAATATGCAGTAGAGTTCTTATTTCCACCAATCTGAATCCTTGCTGTCCATATCGGACTTGATTTTTGCTCCACGAATTGTGCCCGGCTTTAATAATATACAGAAGTCTTGAAAGTTAAAAATTGGTCGAGCACGAAACATGGCTTGGAGGGCCAGTTTGAATAGTCTAAGTTTATCTGCAGAAGATTGTGAAACATTCTCTGCATTAGTTGATCACGAAAAATATCGGTCTCTTATCGGGGAAAGGACTAGACATACGAATATGTATTCAAATCAAATAGAGCTCTTTTCAAATCAATAAGCCTGATAATCACTGCAAAAAAAACGGATTTTACCAGAGGATCTAAAGAAAAGTTTGCAATTTTTGTATGCACAAAACAAAATTGTAGTACGCCGAAATTAGAAATATGAGTGAAGATTACAAACATGATGACATATAATTGACGGATACCGATACTAATGTGCAGTTTTATTATATGCAGCTACTTTGAAAAATGAATGAAAATTTCTCAATCTGATTGAAGTCAAATTAGTATCGATTGTCATACCGTTGATCGTTGGACTTGGTACCACTGGAAATAAATTCAATGTGGTCATCTTCTCTCGACGTCCTTTTCACTCGTCATCCTGTTCAATGTAGTTCATCTATACATCAGTTGTTAATCTGCTCATCATCACTCTAAAGCGTATGTATAGATAAATACTTTAAGAGCTTTAGATGAAACTTGCATTTCTCAAAACTGCTTTTAGAAAACTTTATTTCCTCATTACTTTCGAGAACCAATCATTTTCAACATCTTAATTTTATTGAGCAGGATGTTTCCATTTGTTTCACGAAATATACCTCTTGCTGTTATCGTTAGCAAACGCGTTGTCGAAGAACGCGTTATTCTAAACTTCTGAACGACAAAAAAAGCGTTGGTTTTAAAACCTTTAATGCGTTTTCTGGTCGTTAAAAACGAAAGTTCTTTTGTCAATTTTTTACCCCTGATTAGATTTATAAATCCATGTTCTAACGAGCTGTGTTTTTGTGATTTATATATAATATCACATATCAGTCGTTCCACTAACTCAGGACACTTGCCATTATGATGGGAAAAAGAACATCTACCTGTAACTAACTCATTAAACATCTAGAGAATTTGTTTACTCATCATTATTGAAAACTATGTCGAATTTAAGAAATCGCTCCACAATAACATATCTAGAATACAATTGTGCTACGCACAAGTAGTGGTGTTGACTTGACATACACTGGTTGTATTAACAGAGGCAGCGAGTTCATTAAAAAATTGAAAATGCTTTATTCTTCTCGCCGATTTATAATAGCAACAGAATTTTAATTACTATTTTAAAAAAAAAGAAATTAGTAGAATTTTTATTAGATGCATGTATGTGAAAAAAAATCACTAATTAGAAGATTATTTACACAAATTCATTTCTCAATTCTGTCAAGAAAATGGCGCTGTGCAAATAGAATATTAATATATTAAAAATTTCGAAGTCCAAGACACTTTTTTCTTCCACTTGTGAAACTCATTGCGCCTGATCTGGACTTTTGTTTAAGAGAAGAACGTGAAATGGTCCACGTTCAGTACTCAGAGAGCTCTATCTCCTGTTTTCAGAATGTCTCTAGTTCACTAGATCATTGGGTTCACATTTCATGGAAATCAGTACTAAAAGAAAAAGAAACTACTATCCATCCCAAAATACAGGGCCGGTGGGCATTTTTTGAATAACTTTTGATAGGAATGGGATAGAGACCTGGGATTTTAGCTGTTCAATAGCTAAGACTTGAGCAGAACTTTTCACAAGCGGAAGCAACAAAAACTTGAATTATTCAAGCTGTAAGTTGCAATGAAGTTCAATCAGCGGTTTTTTCAACTGTTCGGAATAAGAATACGTGTTATTTTCTCATTGATCGAATATGAGAAAATAATGACTACAGCCAGTTTTTCAGTCAGTCGTGTTTGTTAACTTTTGTCTTATTATTAGCAGGTCAAGAGTCGATGTCATTTTGTTTTCCGACTTAGTAAAGTACTTGAGTGAGTCATTGTTAGCATGCCAAGAGACTCGGGAATGTCTGATTGAAGACGCCTTTTTTCTTACTATCGCAGAGATCACGAAATAAAAATGATCTTTCGCTATTTTGTTAGCGTTTCAGATTCTTCGAAGTTCAGAACAATGCAAATAACTTTCCGGTACTCTCAATTGCACTTCTACAAAATAATCACATCTTATACTGTAGGCATATGAGAGTTGGGGTGACTATTCTGTAGAAGTACTCTCAGTTTTGCTTAATACTAAACTTGACAATAGCATCTCGCTGTTATTCTCCCGTTTCTGTAAAAAAACTTGTATTCTAATCTTTATCGTTCGCTCTCATTCTAAAGTGAGCCGATTTGGAATGGACGTCACCGTGAGACTTACGGGAGCGTAATAGTCAGGGTTATTTATTTTCTAGGGAGGGCAATCAGCAAGTTACGTCTGCAGAAGAGCTGAATTCATTTTGTATGCGGCTTATCTAACTGTGCTAACTCGCGTAAGTTTCTGCGATATTCAGCAATTAGAACAAATTTGCTGAACTTCTATACGCTTTTTGGTTTTATTGTAGATTGTGTAACGAGAAGGAATATAGCCTAATGAACAATCGATGATGTGCTTGTATGGCTAAAAATATTTATTAATGATGAATGTTCTGTCAAGAAATTCAATAGTAAACCCACAATTATATTTTTCTATCTCCTTCGCTAACCTCAAACAAGTGTATTTTAATGTGATTTTTGGAAAGTGATGAGGTAAGAAGAAAAAAAACTTGCTTTATGCATTCATGACTGAAATTTGTGAAAAGTGGGTAGTGACTTAAAAATAGAAAAACAGATGTCTGTTAATATGAACGGTCACTAAGAAGTTACTTCCTTGAAGATTAAATGGCACAACACTCTGTGCAGAAAGTCAAAAGAGCATCATAGTGCACTATAGAGACATAAAAAGCCTTTTCCGAAACGCTTAAAGCGTTCAGGAAACCGAAACCACACCGAATAAAGGTTTACAAAAGTACCCATAAAGCGTTCCGGAAGGGGTTTATCACGTCTACGGAACCTTTTATGCGTTCGGTGTGGTTTCGGTTTCCCGAACGCTTTAAGCGTTTTATAAAATACAGATTTTTTTTGGGAAGGTCTTCTATTGCGGTCAGATTTTGTCTCCCTTTTTTTTGCCGTTTTTTCTACATCATTTGATAGAGTGAGAGTTGCTGATCACGAAAAACAACTTTTTACCTTACACAAATATCTTTTTCAGGTCGGAAAATACGAAAAAATCGAAGTATGTCGTATTTTTCAAAATACGCCTTAT